ACGAAGAACTGGACCTGCATAGAAATTTTTCTGTCACAGACTGTAGTTCCCATTACGAACTCTAAATACGTAATTTGAAACAATTCCGGTGAATAATGACGCTAAAATCATCAAAATACGAATTTTGGGAGGTACGGTTATATGGGGGATATACGAAGAACTGGACCTGCATAGAAATTTTTCTGTCACAGACTGTAGTTCCCATTACGAACTCTAAATACGTAATTTGAAACAGTTCCGGTGAATAATGGCGCTAAAATCATCAAAATACCGAATTTTGGGAGGTACCGTTATATGGGGGCTATACGCAGACGTGAACCTGCACAGACAATTTTCTTTCATAGGCTGTAGCATCCATTACGAATCTCAAATACCAACTTTGAAACAACTCCGGTGAATAATGTCGCTAATATCATCAAAATACCGAATATAGGGAGGTACCGTTATACGGGGGCTATATAAAAACGTGGACCTACATGGCCCATTTACGAACTTAACCTGCCTACTAGAAAAATAAACACGTGTGCAAAATTTAAGAATTCTATCTCAATTCGTTCGAAAGATATGGGGGATATATGAAGAACTGGACCTGCATAGAAATTTTTCTGTCACAGACTGTAGTTCCCATTACGAACTCTAAATACGTAATTTGAAACAATTCCGGTGAATAATGGCGCTAAAATCATAGAAATACCGAATTTTGGGAGGTACCGTTATATGGGGGATATACGAAGACCTGGACCTGCATAGACGTTTTTCTGTCACAGACTGTAGTTCCCATTACGAACTCTAAATACGTAATTTGAAACAATTTCGGTGAATAATGGCGCTAAAATCGTCAAAAAAAAGGAATTTTGGGAGGTACCGTTATATGGGGGATATACGAAGACCTGGATCTGCATAGACATTTTTCTGTCACAGACTGTAGTTCCCATTACGAATTCTAAATACGTAATTTGAAACAATTCCGGCGAATAATGGCGCTAAAATCATCAAAATATCGAATTTTGGGAGGTACAGTTATATGGGGGATATACGAAGACCTGGACCTGCATAGACATTTTTCTGTCACAGACTGTAGTTCCCATTACGAACTCTAAATACGTAATTTGAAACAATTCCGGTGAATAATGGCGCTAAAATCATAGAAATACCGAATTTTGGGAGGTACCGTTATATGGGGGAAATACGAAGACCTGGACCTGCATAGACGTTTTTCTGTCACAGACTGTAGTTCCCATTACGAACTCTAAATACGTAATTTGAAACAATTTCGGTGAATAATAGCGCTAAAATCGTCAAAAAAAAAGGAATTTTGGGAGGTACCGTTATATGGGGGATATACGAAGACCTGGATCTGCATAGACATTTTTCTGTCACAGACTGTAGTTCCCATTACGAACTCTATATACGTAATTTGAAACAATTCCGGTGAATAATGGCGCTAAAATCATCAAAATATCGAATTTTGGGAGGTACCGTTATATGGGGGATATACGAAGAACTGGAACTGCATAGACATTTTTTTGTCTTTTGGGAGGTACCGTTATATGGGGGCTATACGCAGACGTGAACCTGCACAGACAATTTTCTGTCATAGGCTGTAGCATCCATTACGAATCTCAAATATCAACTTTGAAACAATTCCGGTGAATAATGGCGCTAAAATCATCAAAATACCGAATTTTGGGAGGTACGGTTATATGGGGGCTATACGAAGACGTGGACCCAGATAATTTTCTGTCATAGGCTGTAGTATCCATTTCGAACTTCAAATACCAAAGTTGAAACAATTCCCGAGAATAATGTCGCTAAAATCATCAAAATACCGAATATCGGTAGGTACCGTTATAAGGGGGCTATATGAAAACGTGGACCTACATGGCCCATTTACGAACTTAACCTGCCTACTGGCAAAAAAAAAAAACATTTTTGCAAAATTATATGTCAATTCGTTCGAAAGATAACGTAATTACAACAGACAGACAGACAGACAGACGAACAGACAGACAGACGGACAGACAGACAGACAGACGGACATGGCTAAATCGACTTAGAATTTTACGCTGATCAAGAATATATATACTTTGTTTGGTCTGACATGAGTATTTCCAGGAGTTACAAATGGAATGACAAAGTTAATATACCCTCCATAGTATGGTGGAGGGTATAAAAATATGAAGATTAAGACAAATGACAGAATGGTTTCATTTGACGTAGTATCACTCTTCCCGAGCATACCGATTGATCTTGGTATTCAAATAATCGACGAACGGTAGGAAGAACTGAAACAATACACAAATATTATAAAGGGCCTATTTTTCAGCATCCAGTAAATTTCGCATTGAGGACAACCGATATTTCAAATACAACGACAGGATATATAAACAAAGAATAAGAAGAATAGACTGTCAATGTGCACAACAGCTTCTCCAGTTGTGGCGGATATAGACATGGAGAAACACCTGCATGAAAAAACTGACAACGAAACCCAAAATATTAACGAAATACGTGGACGATCTCTTTGTAATAACTGGGGAAGATGCGATCAATGATACATTGAATATGCTTAATAGTTTCAGCAACAATATCAAATTCATCATGGAGGATGAAATGAATGGATGTTTAGAATATCTGGACACAATAATATATAGAAATAAGGACAAATTAGAATTAGACTGGTATCAAAAACCTACGGCATCAGGGGGAATTATAAATTTCTTTTCGAAACATCCCAAGCAAATGATTATAAACACTTCAAAAAATTTTGTACATAGAGTAATGAACAAACACAAAATCCAAGATATTCTATGATTTACTTACCAAATTTATCAGAAAGATTCTAAATCTAAATTTATATGAAAAGAACAAATATATAATAGCCCAGAAAAACAACAACATTCTCAAAAAGCTATTAAGCAATACAAAAGACTAAATACAAAACTCTGATAAACACAATGCGATGTACCAAATACAATGTGATGGCAACCCTAACGAAAAATATGGGAAACGTTATGTTTGTACCACACACACACAGCTCATAAGTCTGATTTAAAAATTTGAAACCAAAATTACACACAAACAAGTTAAAAAGCAGTAAGTTCGGCCGGGCCAAACTTTGAATACCCTCCATCATTTGGAACGAATTTGGAAATTTTAAAAAAATACAATCCTTAAAAAATTCTGATACATTTTAAAAATACCGAATATTGCCGTTATATTGGGGTCTATACGACGTGGACCTACATAGGCATTGTTTGCCATTAGCCATTACCATATTCAAATTCGAAACTTGAAATCAACGGTGAATAACGTAGCTAAAATCATCAAAATATTGTATATAGGGAGGTACCATTATATGGAAGCTGTGCGAAGCCTTGGACCAGCATAGACAATTTTCTGTCACAGGCTATAGCATCCATTACTAACGTCAAATACGATATCTCAAACAATTTCGGTGGGTATTGTACCTAAACTCGTCAAAACACCGAATATAGGGAGGTACTTATATATGGGGCGTATACGAAGACCTGGACCTGCATAAACATTTTTCTGTCACAGACTGTAGTTCCCATTACGAACTCTAAATACGTAATTAGAAACAATTCCGGTGAATAATGGCGCTAAAATTATCAAAATACCGAATTTTGGGAGGTATCGTTATATGGGGGATATACGAAGACCTGGACCTGCATAGACATTTTTCTGTCACAGACTGTAGTTCCCATTACGAACTCTAAATACGTAATTTGAAACAATTCCAGTGAATAATGACGCTAAAATCATCAAAATACCGAATATAGGGAGGTACCGTTATATGGGGGCTATACGACGAAGTGGACCTGCAGACAATTTTCTGTCATAGGCTGTAGCATCCATTACAAATCTCAAATACCAAATTTGAAACAATTCCATTGAATAATATCGCTAATATCATCAAAATACCGAAGTTTGGGTGGTACCGTTATATGGGGGCTATACGAAGACGTGGACCCAAATAATTTTTTGTCATAGGCTGTAGTATCCATTTCGAACTTCAAATACCAAAGTCGAAACAATTCCGATGAATAATGTCGCTAAAATCATCAAAATACCGAATATCGGGAGGTACCGTTATATGGGGGCTATATGAAAACGTGGACCTACATGGCCCATTTACGAACTTAACCTGCCTACTGGAAAAATAAACACGTTTGGAAAATGTTAGCCTTCTATTTCAATTCGTTCGAAAGATAGCATGATTACAACAGGCAGACAAACTACATGGCTAAATCGACTTAGAATTTTACGCTGATCAAGAATGTATATACTTTGTTGGGTCTGACATGAGTATTTCGAGGAGTTACAAACGGAATGAAAAAGTTAATTAATATATAATATAATATAGTATGGTGGAGGGTATAAAAACTGACCAAAATCTCAAAATATAACGTTCAGGACTCAATAGCGAATTAATCAATCGAATCAATTAAGGCAAATGACGGAATGGTTTCATTTGACGTAGTATCACTCTTCCCGAGCATACCGATTCATCTTGGTATTCAATTAATCGACGAACGGTGGGAAGAACTGAAACAATACACAAATATGACAAAGGGCCTGTTCATAAAAGATGCTAGTTTTTTGCGCAACACTGTTGTTTGTTACATTACCGGTGGCTGCATAAATAACATCATAAAAAAATGATGTACATATACACACACACAGGCACATATATGCAGCCACCGGTAAATTCCAATGCTGAATTCAAATAAATAAGCATCGTCACCAGCCAAAACAGGTTTGCTGTGACGATGCAAATTGGAGTTAGATCAGTTCTGTCTCGAATTTAAAAGCGCGTACGCAAGGTTCCCCCCCGAAGTGAACAGTGCCCAAAAACAGAAAAAAAAAACAAAGTGTCAACAAAAAAAAAAAAAAAAAAAAAAACATCATACAAAAAACATAAAACATTGTACATAAAACCAAAACCAATTGAACAAAAAAAAGTAAAAATTAATTGAACAAAAAAAAAAACCTAAAACTAGAACAAAAAAGTGTGTACGAAACAAATTGAATTTTAAACATTGAAATAAAACAATACAAAAAAAAAAAAAACAAAAATAAAACAACATCTTTTAATTAAAGAAAACATAAAAAAGGTGAAATAAAAAAATAAAAAACTGTTTTTAGAATATTAAAAACAAAAAAAAAACAAAGTATTAAGTGGACAGACACAGTGAAGTGAAACAAAAGTGCATAATAACATATAAATAAATAAATTAACAAAAAGTGACGTTTAAAAAAGTGCAACCAAAAGAAAAAGTGCTAAAAAAAAAAATAGAAAGTACACTGTGCTACAAAAAAGTGACATTAAACAAACAAATATATATTTTTACAAATTTACTACAAAAAAGGGACAACACACAGTGCTACAAAACAAACAGAAAATACACAGTGCTACAAAAGTGACATTAAAAAGTGATACAAAGTGACATTACACGGTGCTACAGAACTAAAAGAAATTACACAGTGCTACAAAAATAAACAAAAATTAATTAAATTTTTTATTTTTTTGGCAAAAAAAGTCTACACAAAAGACAAAATACAAAAATAAAAAGTGTAACAAAAAGTGACAGTACACAATATTACAAAAAAACCAAACAAAATCAAGAAGTACGCAAAATTGTGGAAGCTGCCAGAAGACCACGAAGGACTCCGGCAACACAACAACAATAGTAACAACAACAACAAGAGGAACACTACAATAACGAATTTTTTTTGAGACCCAAAGGCCAAATCAAAGTGAGTACTCAATCAAATTTATCTTGTTGGACATAAAGGGCATACCGGGAGCAGGCAAATCCTCAATATTTGTATTGACCCGAAGATTCCCATACTTTGAAATCTCAAGTTGACACTTTTTAAAGTTGCTGCGTTGCCTCTAAGACACTTTTTTGAGAAAATTTCCCTTTTTGGAGCCATTTTGTGGACGGACATCTAAATATAGACTCACATAGGCGCAATAAGTACTTATAAAATAGCGCGAATTTTCATACACATAAATACATAATATTGGAATTTGCTGAACGTGCAGTTCAAAAAATAAATAAGCGCCATATTAAAAAAAAAACATTCTTATTGGAAAATTGGCGTCACTTGACACACATATAAACGCCATATTGGAAAAAAATCTAGCGTCACATAAAAATATATAATCGCCATATTTTTAACATTTTTGGCGTCACAAAAATACATAAGCGAAATACATAGCAACCGTTTGGATTTTGCAAATAATAGCGTCTAGTGGATGGACATGAAACAATACTTAACCTAGAATTTTTTTCGGGATTTTTGAAAAAAATTAGATTGGCGTCTGTGGACAGACAAAAGAGAAAAAAATCGATTCCATATATAATATAACACACTTTTATTATATTTTACAAATCTCTTAACATTTTTAAATCAAGAAAAACATTTCTGGGACCCAAAATTTATTTCTGGATTTTTTCGCAGAAATATTTTGCTGGTATTTTTTTTTTTGCTTTTTGCTAAAACAAACATTTTGAAAGAATTTGCTGAACGAAAAAAGTTACTTTTTGGAAACTTTTGTGGAAATTTTAATTGGAGTTTGACACAACAAACATTTTGCTGGGATATACAAATTTTTTGGAAAATTTTGCAAATTATTGGAATTTTTCTGGAGAAAAAAATTTTGTGGAACTTGACCCAATACTAGCAACTTGTGATTTTAAATTAATTACCTAGCGTTTTTAGAAAATTTGTTGCTTCAACCAAAATTTCATAGCAATATTTTTGGCTCGTCAAAATTTAAAATTCCTCCTGCAATTTTATGGTAATATTTTTGAGGATATTTTGTTCGACAACCCAGTACACATTTTTATTTCAATAGAAAATATTTTTCCTTTTTGGAAATATTTATTGAAAATTTTCATTTTCTACAATTTTACTGCTGGGAAAAAACCCTCGTTGGTGGAAAATCAAAAATCTTTTGGTCGTTTTTGTATCGTTTTTTGCCTGTACAATCCTCACCTTTACTCTTTTTGGAATAATATTGATGGACAACCCAGCAAACATTTTTAAACAAAATTATTTCGGCGTCTCATACAAAGTAAAGTTTTTGGGATTTTGCAAGAACTTTCAAGTCTTTGGAACAAAACGAAATATAATTCGACCCAAACCAAAAATTGTACATAGATTTCGTTGATCAAATTGAAGAAGATAGCTTATCCTTATTTTTTAAAAATAAAAATTTGGATAAAAGTTTGAATCTTATTCCAAGTCAATCCTTTTCATTGGGTTGCCTTTCCTTTTTGCAACACAACAAAATTTCGGTAAAGGTTAATACTCAGTCATCAAGATGGATAAGACCCTAAGCGAAAAATTCGCAAACTGCGTCAACGATCTTCAGGATTATATTTCAATTTTTTCAATAACCAAACCGGATGACACGGTTCATACTTTGGAGACAACACGCATGGAGTTGGATTCTGCATGGGACCAGGTCAAAAGGGCATATTTAGACTGCCGTGATTATGTTCCAGAGGAAGGAGGAAAAACCATCGACAAAAATAAACTGAGGAAACATTATATGGATACCATGGGATCATATAAACAGGCGCTGAGTTCAATAAATGGACAAATTCAAAATATTTTGGATGAAAAGGCACAGGAGAAAATGAAAAGAGATTCAGAGATGTCACAGCAAGGAAAGGAAGTGGATTTTACGCCAATATCACGGCTGCCGCCATGCGACACAGACACCTTTAAAGGGGGTTATCGAGAATAGCCGACTTTCAGAGATTTATTTTCGGCAATTTACATAAACAATTCAAAATTAAGTAATGTCGAAAAGTTATTCCATTTGACTCAAAAGACAGCAGGAGAAGCACCAGAAATTATAACGCATGTTCCCCTAACTAATGATGGATTTGCACTAGCGTGGAAAAATCTTACGGATCGTTATGAGAACAAAAGGATGCAAATTAATGAAGAAATTAAAACACTTTTTAATCTACCTGGTGTTTCTACAGAGTCAAGTCACACTATTCAAAAACTACAACGCACTGTAAATAGCTGTATTCAAACTTTGGGGATGCTTGACGTCGATGTAAAAGGATGGGATCCGATTTTAATATACATTTGCTCAACAAAATCACCTAGAGGCTTCCTAGAAGAATTCGAGAACTCATTAAGCGATTGTAAACAAATACCAAAATGGGAACATTTTGACGATTTCTTAACAAACAAATTCAAAACCTTGGAAACAGTAGGGAATATAAAACCCTCAACATCAAAATTTGCTCAACAGAAGCAAAATAGCATCAATAAACCTAGATTTTTGAAAACATTTCAAACAAATGTCGCAAAAAATACAACCAATTTTAGAGGAAGAAACAACTTAGCACAACCTCAACAAAATAAAACACAAAATACTCAAACATGTCAAGTCTGCAAATCAAATCATTTTATCAGGGATTGCAGCGAATTTTTAAAAAAGAGTGTAAATGACAGAATTCACACTGTGAAAACGTCACACTTATGCTATAACTGCTTGTCTTCAAACCACGGAGTAAAAGATTGCAAAAGTCGCTTTGGTTGTCGTATCTGTACTATGAGACATAATACTTTGTTACACAAGGGGTCGGAAACCCGAACCACAAACACATACCTAGCTCGAGTGGAAGCACAACCTAGTACCAGTGCTGCTGCTCTTTCAAATCACATACAGTCCACTACCAACCTAGAACCAACTACTATTACCTCTTTGACCCTCCAAGATGAGCGAATTAGTGAGCAACAATCTAGAGGAACTCTACTTTTCACAGCAATAGTACAAATTGAAACCAAAGGACAACTATACGATGCCCGAGCTCTAATAGACTCAGGATCACAATCCACTTTTATTTCTGAGAAGATGAAAAACCTCTTGAAATTACCCACAAGGAACAATCTAGTTCATATCACCGGCCTTAGTCAATTTGTTGCCGAAACATCTACGAAATCTTGCTTGTTTACTATGAGATCCAAATACGACCCTAGCTTTAAACTGGAAGTATGGGCTCCAGTTCTAAAGAATTTACCTTCAAATTTACCACCACAAAACTTAGATGAATCACAACTTCGAGATGTAACCTCATTAGAACTGGCTGACCCGAAATTTTACGTTAGTCAACCCATTGATTTACTTATTGGAATGGACATAGGACCATTAATATTCACACTTGGAACTCCGATGAGAACATTTGGATCAATTTTAACTCAAAAAACCAAATTTGGATGGATAGTTGGAGGACCCATACCGGGAAGCACTCTTCAACGAAAACAAATATCACTTCTAAATACAACATCAATAGAGAAAGTACTTACACGATTTTGGGAGGTGGAAGAGACACCTAAAAAAGTTTTACGGTCAGAAGAAGACCAATTTTGTGAACAAAATTTTACTGAAACAACAATACGAAACAAGGATGGAAGATATGTGGTGACTCTCCCATTCAAAAAATGCGAAGAATTAGGAAATTCCCGAAACATCGCCTTAGCTCAATTCTACAGAATGGAGAAAAAACTTATGAAAACGCCCGAGATAAAAGAACAATATGATGCCTCAATACTTGAATATTTAGAACTTGGTCATATGCGGAGGATCAATCCGGATGAAAGAGACGAAATGCCCAATTATTATCTACCACATCATGCAGTAATTAAGCCAGATCGAATCACGACAAAGTTAAGAGTCGTCTTCAATGCTGATGGGCAACATCAAACAAAACAAGTCTCAATGACATATTGTTTCCGGGACCCATTTTACAACAAGATTTGGTACTACAAATTCTAAAATGGAGATTTTTTAAGTATGCTTTTAAAGCCGATATTACTAAAATGTATAGGCAAATACTGTTGGATTCAACTCAAACAAAATATCAAAGAATTCTGTTTAGAAAATCGCCAACAGACCCAGTTGAAGACTATGAATTACTAACTGTAAAATTTGGAGTAAATTGCGCACCGTTTCTGGCACTGAGAACTCTTATGAAATTGGCAGATGATGTTCAAGATTCGTATCCAAGAGCTGCAAGAATTATAAGACAAAATCTTTATGTGGATGATGTACTTGCGGGTGGACACACAATTGAGGAGACTATAAAAGCTCGGAAGGACTTAGTAGCAGCGCTCGAATCCGCTGGATTTCAACTTATGAAATGGGCCTCAAATTATCATACAATAATAAAAGATATTCCACAAGAAAATTTATTGCCTCTTAACTTGTTGGATATCTCTGAAGATGCGTCCACGAAAACGTTGGGAATTCGATGGAATATATCAGGTGATTTTTTCACTTTTACAGCTCCAACCGTGGAAAACAAAAACATTTACACAAAACGAGAAGTTTTATCAACTATAGCCAAATTGTTTGATCCATGCGGATGGCTAGCGCCAATAGTGGTCGTAGCAAAACTGATAATGCAACAAATTTGGCTGGATAAAATCGATTGGGATGATACACTGAAACCAATCACCCATATAAATTAAACTGTCAAAAATAGCAATGATATTAAATCTCTCAGAGTTCCAAGATGGATACAGTTTACACTAGATGCTTCTGTTGAGATTCATGGATTTTGTGACGCATCGGAGAGCGCGTATGAAGCAACGCTATATGTTCGGATTGAAAAAACTGACCATACCACACACACCTTTTTATTAGCAGCAAAGACTCGTGTAGCACCAATCAAAAAACTATCAATACCAAGGCTCGAATTATGTGGGGCAGTATTACTTTCCAAATTAGCAAAATCTATTACAAACAGTCTACAAATATCAAAATATTCAACACATTTTTGGACAGACTCTACTATCGTTTTGGCCTGGTTAAAAAAGCCTCCTTGTCATTGGAGCACCTTTGTGGGAAATAGAGTCTCGGAAATATCTGATAATGTTGGGCAAGAAAACTGGAAACATGTTGACTCTGAAAGCAACCCAGCTGACATTGCTAGTCGTGGATGTTCTCCAACTGAACTAACGACTCATGAGCTCTGGTGGCATGGACCTCAATGGCTCAAAATGCCAAAAGATCGTTGGCCATCGCAAGATATCCCAAACGACACAAATTTAGAGGCTAAAGCTGTAAAAGTTCTGACTATATTTCAAGAAAGAGATGATCCATTAAAAAATTTCTCATCATTGGCAAAAGTCTACCGATCATTCGCCTATGCTCTGCGATTTTGGAAAATACTGGCGCAAATCGGCAAAATCTTCGCTCCTCATCAATAGATCTTACCGCAGCCGAAATCCAAGATGGAAAACGATCTTGCATAATTCGTACACAAAAATTCGTTTATGCAGATGAATATAATTCACTAATGAAAAGGTCTCCAATTTCTCCATCTAGCCCTCTATTGACGTTAAACCCTTTCTCGACTCAAAGGGTATTATTCGAGCTAATGGCAGATTAGTTCAATCTCCAGCCCTTACATATAGCGAACGTCATCCATAATACTACCACACGGAACTACCCTTAGCAAATTGTTGGTCGAATTCACTCATAAGATCACTTTACATGGTGGTAATCAATTGATGACCCGAGTGCTAAGATCCGAATTCTGGATATTTGGACTCAAATCTCTGGTTAAACAAACTATACGAAAATGTCGAATCTGCTTAATTCACAAGAAACAAACCCAAACTCAAATAATGGCCTCGCTGCCACCCGAACGTACTTTTCTGTCTCGACCCTTTACAAACACTGGGGTAGATTTTGCAGGACCCTTTAATATTAAAAGTTATTCAGGAAGGGCTTGCTTTATTACAAAAGGCTATGTTTGCCTGTTCGTCTGCTTCGCCACCAAGGCTATACATTTAGAACCAACTAGCGATTTATCTACATATGCCTTTCTCGCCGCTTTCTCCAGATTCATAAGTCGGCGAGGTTGTCCGTCTTGTATATTTTCCGACAACGGAACCAATTTTGTGGGAGCGGTCGATCTATTAAAGCGAGATCGATTAGCTTTCATGAAGAATATTCAAAGTACCACAATCCAAAACAATTTCAATCAAAATCTTACTTGGAAATTTATCCCGCCTGGCGCTCCGCACATGGGCGGTTTGTGGGAGGCCGGCGTTAAATCGTTTAAAATGCATTTGCGAAAAAGTATTCCAAAAATGAATTTCACATTTGAAGAATTTACAACTATCTTAGCAAGAATTGAAGCCTGCCTTAATTCGCGACCCTTAAGTCCTGGTAGCGATGATCCAATGACCTTTCCCCGTTAACTCCTGGTCATTTCTTAATTGGAACATCAATTCTTACTCCTGCTGAACCCGACATTTCCGACACAGATCTTAGTCTAGTAAATCGTTGGAAACGACTCAAAGTTATTTCACAATACTTTTGCAATAGGTGGAAATTAGAATATCTCCACGAACTTCACAGAAGAACTAAATGGAAGCGTGAAAAGGAGAATGTCAAAGAAGGAGATTTAGTAGTCATAAAGGACGATAGGTTGGCTCCAAATGAATGGAAGTTGGGTCGAATTGCAAAAACATATCTCGGTAGCGATCAGAATACGAGGGTTGTAGACATACGGACATCAAGTGGCAACATTAGCAGACCTATTACAAAAATTGTCAAATTGTTTTCCGACTGACTAGCCGGAATCCTACTTAAAAAAGAACATAGTACTCGCCTTTGGTTTTTTTCAGATATGGCTGCCTACTTGCCCAATCAAGACTGCCGTTTAGATGATCGCAGCCTCAGTCCCAACCAATCCGCACGTCCAACAGCGAGAAGTTCTAGCAGACCCAGACGCCCAACCGAACCCATTCCCAGCAGACCGGCTCATAGACACCGCAGACTTCCCAGTTCCACATCGCCAGAAAGACGTCAACGAAGCCGCTCCGCTGCAAGATCCCGCCAACGCCAAGAACGACCCAGCTATTGGCAGTATTCCTGTGGGTTGTGTCAGGAGGACCATGCCCTCAGTGCTTGCGAGAGGTTTCGCCACCAGACCCCCTTCCAGCGCTATGAGACTGTGGAGCGTAGGGGGTACTGCAGAAATTGCCTTGCCAGAAGTCATTTGGCCCCTGACTGTCCGTCGTTGACTGGTTGCAGGAGGTGCAACAATCGGCATCATACGCTGCTACACGGGGCGTCTCAGCTGGAGGAAGTATCTCTAAACGTGGAAGTTGTAACAACACCAAACTTTGCGTGGGATTTGGTATTTGTGCCAACGGCTATGGTGCGCATCAAAGCTGACAAAACAGAGGGGTACACCATGATAAGAGCATTAATCAGCCAATCAGCGACGATGTCCAAAATATCGTATGCGGCTTTCCGTAGATTGGGCTTACAATCGCGGATTTACAAAGGGCAGCGATTTACCACATTTACTGTTTCGCCCCGCCGCACAAACAGCCACTGGAGTCTTAGAGTCAATGCCTTGATAATCGAAGATTTGCCCAGGCGCATTTACTCGGACCCGATCCTCGAGGACCCCACAAGAAGTTTCAGAAATTGCGCCCTAGCCGACCCTGATCCCCGAGGCAACAATCCCGTCGATGTGGAACTGGGTGCTGACGTTTACTCAGCCATAAGAAAAGACGAGTGCAAGGAGGCTGGAATTGGAGATGTCCTGGCCTATGATACCCAGCTGGGTTACGTGTTTGCAGGTCCAATAAAAAATATGCCAAAAATATAAAGAACAATATTGTATTTCAAAGATGAATGTAAACACTTGTCATTCGGGGGCCAGAAATGTTCATAAAAGATGCTAGTTTTTTGCGCAACAGTGTTGTTTGTTACATTACCGGTGGCTGCATAAATAACATCATAAAAAAATGATGTACATATACACACACACATGCACATATATGCAGCCACCGGTAAATTCCAATGCTGAATTCAAATAAATAAGCATCGTCACCAGCCAAAACAGGTTTGCTGTGACGATGCAAATTGGAGTTAGATCAGTTCTGTCTCGAATTTAAAAGCGCGTACGCAAGGTTCCCCCCCGAAGTGAACAGTGCCCAAAAACAGAAAAAAAAAACAAAGTGTCAACAAAAAAAAAAAAAAAAAAAAAAAAAAAACATCATACAAAAAACATAAAACATTGTACAAAAAACCAAAACCAATTGAACAAAAAAAGTAAAAATTGAACAAAAAAAAAAACCTAAAACTAGAACAAAAAAGTGTGAACGAAACAAATTGAATTTTAAACATTGAAATAAAACAGTTCAAAAAAAAAAACAAAAATAAAGCAACATCTTTTAATTAAAGAAAACATAAAAAAAGGTGAAATAAAAAACAGGGCCTATTTTTCAGTATTCAGTAAATTTTGCATTAAGGACAACCGATATCTCAAATACGACGACAGGATATATAAACAAAAGAATAGACTGCTAATGGGCTCAACAGCTTCTCCAGTTGTGGCGAATATAGACATGGAGAAACACCTGCATGAAAAAACTGACAACGAAACCCAAAATATTAACGAAATACGTGGACGATCTTTTTGTGATAACTGGGGAAGATGCAATCAATGATACATTGAATATGCTCAACAGTTTCAGCAACAATATCAAATTCATCATGGAGGATGATATGGATGGATGTTTAGAATATCTGGACACAATAATATATAGAAATAAGGACAAATTAGAATTAGACTGGTATCAAAAACCTACGGCATCAGGGGGAATTATAAATTTCTTTTCGAAACATCCCAAGCAAATAATTATAAACACTTCAAAAAATTTTGTACATAGAGTAATGAACAAACACAAAATCCTAGAATATCTTGGACAAACGACAATTTTCCAATAAGATTAATAATTAGATAAATACACCGACAGAATACTCCTAGAGAAACCCAAACGAATTAAAAGATATATAAATCTATGATTTACTTACCAAATTTATCAGAAAGATTCTAAATCTCAAATTTATATGACAAGAACAAATATATAATAGCCCACAAAAACAACAACAGTCTCAGAAAGCTATTTAGCAATACAAAAGACAAAATACAAAACTCTGATAAACACAATGTGATGTACCTAATACAATGTGATGGCAACCCTAACGAAAATATGGGAAACGTTATGTTTGTATCACACACACACAGCTCATAAGTCTGATTTAAAAATTTGAAACCAAAATTACACACAAAAAACAGCGCTTGCGGGACACTGTATATCAGGCAACCACCAGCCAAACATTGAACTTACATTAGGAATGCTATACAATACATTAACAATCTACTGAGTAGATTGTTCTACTGAGTTGTAGTAGTAGTAGAGTAGATTCTACTCACAACAGAGAGAACAACACAGCTTATTGCTATAGGCCATAGATGCCCAATGTAATAGTATTGGTGAGAGCGACGAAATAACACTGGAAGAAAAGATTTTTCTATTCATTTTATTTAGTCGTCAGCGAGATAACGACGAAAGCACATGTGTGGCGGGTGTCGTCATTTTTTTCTTTTTCTGGGAAATGTAAAATTAATAAATGTACATATTTTAGTAATACCCTTGATGAATATAAATGTTGATACTCTAATTGCAGTTACGCAGTAAAAGTGTATTTCTCAAACTATAAGAATTCATCTTATTGCGTTTTTTATATTATATAAAAATATATTTATATTTTTTTAAATTATATTTCTTATTTTTTTAAATGTCTTATAACATATAACACATTGCATATCATCAAAAGCATTTTGTAGCATAACATACTTTTTAAATGACATCATTGACATATCGCAATAATTTTCAGTTTATGTGTTCACTAACAGCTGTCTCGATTACGATTAAATGTAAATATTACACAGAACTTCTGCCTGTGTAGCTTGTCTCTCTCACTCATATTTCTGCTTTCCCATTGGTTGATTGGCGATCAAACAAAAGAGCGTAAGAATACGTGTGAGCAGTGTTGCCGTTTTGGGCGTTTCCGTCCAAATTTGGGCGGAAAAAAGATAAATTTTGTGGTTTGGGCGGATTTTGGGCGGATTTTTTCCATATTGGGTACAAATTTATTTTTCATTGTTTATTTTTACGCAATTTAATTTTTTTTATTACAAACTGAATTTTATATTTTTTATTGAAATGAATCGTTATTTATTTTATAGATTTTTGTTAAGTTTTTTAATAATATAAATAATACATTAGGCTAAAGTCGTGAGGGGCCGACCATGTGATACCCTACAACACTACAATATGTTAGAAGCCCCCTCATGTCCAAATCCATTTTGGAAGATTTCGCTTTTGAAATTATGTGACGGAGCACTGCCCTGATATTACCCTTAGCATTTTGACAAGGGCCATTTTCCCAATATTTATGCACTCCGTCGTGCTGTTAGTTTTTGTGTTCCATTTTACGGCTAAATATATTCCAATGGTCATCCAAAATGCCAGAATTCTTCCCTGTGCTTACCTATTTTCTCAGGCGTGTCGATTGGCTTCAATTGTGTGATTATGAATTTTTTTTCTGTTTTTGGTTCATATATATATATATATATATATGAATATATTGCGGACATCTTTGAAAACAATAGGCCTTGCCCTTCTGAGCCTAACCCTTGTGAAAAATTTCGTGAGGATCGAACGATAATTGCAATCTGTATATAAATAATAACCCTAACCTGTGTTGTATTATAAGTCAACTTGAAAAAATCGCATGCGAAAAAAAAAATATGAAAAAAATAAAGAAAATGTCTCAAAATACTACAAAATCTATATGAACATCATTATTGGTATCTTTTTATGCGATTTTGTAGTATTTATACTTTAATGCCACAAGGGCAATTGACAAAATTTGTCAAAATCGCTCCAGCCATTGTGAAGATATAAGCATTCTAGCTGACATCCCCTTCCTTTGTATATATACATTGTATATATTTCTCTATATATATCCGATATTTTTACTATCGGCATCTACGTAACGGTCAGAATTGACCTGTTCGTCTATTTGTGATTTCGCCGGCAGTAAAAATATTCGCGGATTAATGGTAAAATTTACTTTTATTTATCGCAAATGCTATGGTCTACTAAACCACTAAATATTACCCGATGACCATCAAAATTGGAAGGCTTCTGCCCAGTCCAAAGCTCTAGCCCCATGCTAAACTTCGCTTCGATTGGTCTATAATTGTGACCTGTAGAGCAACTGCAAAATCAGGAAATTTCAGTTTTTGGTCCATTTCAACCCCTAAATATTATGCGATCATCTCCAAAAGAAATAGGGTTCTATTCTGACCTTAACCCCAGCTACATTCTAAATTTCGTGAAGATCGGGCCATAATTGCGACCTGTAGAGTGATTACAAATTTACATGGACATACATAGCTAGATCGACTCAGCTCGGTGAGATAGGAAGATCCATATATACTTTGTGGGAAACCAATATTTCGTGGTGTTACATAATTTTTGGCCCAATCAAACTTATAATACCCCCAACACATAGTGTTGTAGGGTATAAAAACCTGAATAATAATAATGACTTAAATGTATTTAATACATTGAATTCTTGTATTATGTTACTTTTTCAAATATGTATATAAAAAAAAAACTTGAAGTAAAATAACATAACATTTTTATTTTCTCTAAAGTATTTAATACATTGAATGTAATAAAATTTGAGTACCTTTTTTATGTATAGTGTAAAATTGTCATTTTCTTACTTGAATACAAACTACATATAAATTATTCAACTTTTTACAGTTTGGGCGGATATGGTCGATTTTGGGCGGTTTTTAGAAAAAATTTGGGCTGAAATAAAAATTTCAAACGGCAACACTGCGTGTGAGTTGAAATTGCTGAAATCAGCCACTACTGGGCATCTATGTCATAAGATGAGATCCTGCAATATGTAAACAAAATCAGTGAAATATCAACAGCCGACGATGATAGTGAATCCTATCATAGTTTTTAAGTTAACTTGACGGTTATTGTTTACAAGTAAGCGATTTTTGTGTCATAAGAATATTGTGTTTGTTTCTATTTTTAATCAATGCTGTGATATTAAAATTAGGAATATTATATTTTCTTGTAGATCCCTTGAAAATTCAATTTATGCAATTGCGAAATATCGGAGATCGAAAATGAGATAAAATAAAAAACTGACCTAAAGCTCAAAAAACTCGTATTATTAAATATGTATAAACTCACACTTATAGTAGAATATTTGTCAGCATAATATAAAAAAAGATAAGTGAAAATTATGTGATGACATCGAAAAATACGGGAATAATCAAATGAAATTCTCAAGAACAGATGAAATATGTTTTCGAAGTCAAGTAAGTCGACTGCGGAAATTAACGGAGTAGCAACTAGGACCAGGACTATTGTTTGATTTTAAGTTACGTAAACTTTTTGTACCCTCCACCATACATGTGTGGGAGATAAAAACGTCTTTAACCACGAAAACAACGCTCAGTTTGGACACACTTGTTGTATAACTGTTGAATAACAGATATGCGGAAAATAAAAACTATTTTTAAAAATGCTATCTTTTTTAAATTTGTAGTTATTTTTGTTTGTAAACGATAGGGAACATAATTAATTAATAATAATTAAAGTTGTTTCAATAAAACCATTCGTCCTCATATCGATTATTTTTGAATGGGAGAAAATTACATAGCCCACTGTGCGGCAATAAAAAATTGTGCACTACAGGAAAGGTCGTTCCAAGAGCTTTCTAAAACGCTATTACTTGGCGAAATCGATCGCGGAAAATTAGAGAAAATTTGTCTTTTTCGATTTTTCAAAAGGAAAGGTCGTTCCAAGAGCTTTCTAAAACGCTATTACTTGGCGAAATCGATCGCGGAAAATTAGAGAAAAATTGTCTTTTTCGATTTTTCAAAAGTTATCATCGATTCCCACCGTGCGAAAACTACAAATAGTGCAAGCACATGGAATAGCATGTTGAAAAGTCCATGAGGTGTACTTTCAAGATATAGACACTCCTAGAACATTATTCGGACAGATTTTTTAAAAAATATTTTTCATAAAATCAAGTTTTTTCTAAGGGAAACATAAAATTCTCCA